TTGGCCACCATGCTACCAGGAGCTACTCCAGGCACATCTTCACCTTGGGCCAGCCTCCAGGCACAGCTGGGCTACCAAAACACCCTGGGCAACCCGTTGGTGGGGGCAGATTCCACACCCACAGAGCACAGACACCAGTGCCTCAGGCTCCAAGGAAGGGGCATCTCGGTACCTGGAGGCAACTGTTCCAGCTCCAGCTCCTTCGTCTGCAGGAGTGTCTCCAAAAACAGCACGGAGAAGTCAGGGCTCAGCTCTGGGCTGCAGGGAGAGAGCAGGCAAGTTAAGAACAGCAGTTGTGGTGGAGAACAGCAGTGGCACTGCTCCCATGAGCCCTGGGCAAAGGGGCAGCCGGGGTTAGCTGGTTCATCCCAGCTGCCAGATCCCAGGCTGACACAGAAACAAGGGTTCTGTCCCAGCTTTGAGTCCCACCCCTGTGTGCTGCCAGCAGTTTGATCCCAAAGGCAGGGGCTGTGGGCAGACCTGCTGTTCCAGGCTGGACTCCCCGTCCTGGCAGGCAGTGGCCAGGAACACTGGGAATACTGCTGGAACCGAGGGCCTCACGTACCTGGCGCCAGGCAGCTGCAGGAGCAGGGGGCTGAAGATCTCTCCCAGGGCCCGAGGGTGGAGGTTGTTGCTCTCGACCTGCTGCGATACCTTCCCCAGATGCCGGAGCAGGAACTGCAGGGTGAGCGTGTTCTGGAGCGGGACCGCAGGCGACTCCAGGGCCAGCAGCAGCTGCTTCCAGCAATTCTCTGGCTGAGGGATCTCTGGGGAGAGAACAAGACAATGGAAGAGCTGGGACACTGAGCATCGCTCCCTATGCTCCGACACATCACAGCGTGGGAGCACTGTCAGCAGCGGGGGCCATGTGCCAGGCCCCACAGGGACAGGGCTTATTTTAATACCCAAAATGTGTCCATCCCATTCCCCAGGCAGACAGGGGAGGTCCTTACCCTGCAGGATGCGAAGGATGTCTCCGTGCACCGACACAGGCACCGCAGGGGAGGGCAGGTCCTGCAGGTAACCCCGCAGTGCCTCGCCCAGGGAGTGCATGTCCACAGGCTCCAGGTCGCCCAGAGTCCAATCTGCCAGGGCACAGATTTCCCATGCGTGGTGGGCACAGCACTGGGCACCCAGCCAGCAGCTCCACTGCTGTCAGCACCCATCCTGAGACCCATCCCACACCTCCCAGCCAGCTATCACAAGACACGGCACCACAAGGGAGCTCAGGCAGCCCTCGGGCAGCCCATGTGACAGAGGATGCCTGGAAGTTCCCT